GGTTGGGAAAAAAGGTGGAAGGAGAGAGATGTGAGATGGCAAGTGCAGAAGCAGCTGAAAAGAGGCAAATGAAGCCTGAGCAGTGGGGAAATGAGAACCTGAAGCAGATAGCGTTTGGAGGAGATGGCTCAGTGCATACAGGCTGCAGGGGTAGGCAGAACTGGAATGTACTGGCAGAGCTGTGTGAAGGTGGTGGGCTAGAGTACTCAGGGTTTACTCACTTGTAAAAGTGGACTGAGAATTTTACGCCTTCCCCACCCTGGCCATCCCTTCCTCTGTCTCCAAGAAAGAGCTGTGAACACACCTCTGTTTACATTTTATCTTTACAACTATAAATGGAAAATGTGATTTTGCTCTGTTGAGGACTGCCTATTAATTTAAACAACAGACTTCAAAACACCAACACATCAAAACAAGTATTTTTGTGGGCTTCAGAGTCTTCAGGAGGATCATGAATCTTGGTGTCTGGTATCATGGGTTTTCCAGGTTTGTCTGTGACAGGGGTTCTTGTTAAATGGACACAGGCATTTCTTTTAGCCATCTTTTTTCAGGGAACTCAGAGGCATTTCAGGAACTTGTCTTAAAGATGAACATACACTTCAGAATTTGTGTGTGTGTGTTCAGAATCACAGAATCATCTCAGTTGGGAAGGACCTTGAAGGTCATCCAGCCCAACAGTTAACCTAGCACTGACAGTTCCCAACTCCACCAGATCCCTCAGCGCTGGGTCAACCCGACTCTTCAACCCCTCCAGGGATGGGGACTCCCCCCCTGCCCTGGGCAGCCCATTCCAACGCCCAACAGCCCCTTCTGCAAAGAAATACTTCCTAAGAGCCAGTCTGACCCTGCCCTGGCGCAGCTTGAGGCCATTTCCTCTTGGCCTGGCGCTGGTTCCTTGGCTCAAGAGGCTCATCCCCCCTCTCTGCACCCTCCTTTCAGGGAGCTGTAGAGGGCCAGGAGGTCTCCCCTCAGCCTCCTCTTCTCCAGACTAAACCCCCCCAGTTCCCTCAGCCGCTCCCCATCAGACCTGTGCTCCAGACCCTGCACCAGCTCTGTTGCCCTTCTCTGGATACGCTCGAGTCGTTCAATGGCCTTTTTGGGGTGAGGGGCCCAAAACTGAACCCACTCATCGAGGTGCGACCTCACCAGTGCCGAGCACAGGGGTCATCCCTTCCCTGTCCCTGCTGGCCACGCTATTGCTGACACAAGCCAGGATGCCATTGGCCTTCTTGGCCCCCTGGGCACACTGCTGGCTCATTATCAATCCCCCCCAGGTCCCTCTCTGACTGGCAGCTCTCCAGCCACTCCTCCCCAAGCCTGTAGGCTGCTGTGGGATAGAATGGTCTTCCTGTTCCCTGGGCTTCCTGTGAGATGAAGCAGCCCAGCCTCTTGGTGGGTCTCATAACCTAAGGTGGTGATGGCAGCGTTTTCTCAACACTGCCAGGGCATGCTGTGCTCCTGATATCCTGCCTGCCTGTGGCCAAGGGACATTGCAGTCTTGAAAATCATCACTAAAGCACAGACAGACCCTTCATGCAAGACAGTATTAAATTAGACTGCTTCTTATTATGTTGCTATATGAACTCCATTGTTTCTGCAACTGATTATGTCACCACAAATCATGTGGTAGTCTTAGATGTATTTTTTTTTTTCCCCTCTGGATAGGTAATGTGGAGTTTGTTTCTTTCTAGAACTGGTTTTCTCCTCTAACTCCCACTACCCAAACTGCCATCCTTGAATCCCTTTAGTCATCCTCCTAGAAACCATTCAGGGGGGTGGGGGCAGTTCATTTAGGGCACTCCTAACACCCATGGTTTTGCAAGAAAGTTTCCTCTGCCCCTCACTGGGAAAACCCTTGGCCTGGGCAGCAAAAGCATCACTAAATCTGCTGGTGCTGAGCAGAGACCTCTTCTTGTGGTTGGTGATGACATCCACAGCGATGGCTGGGTGTTTCATCTGAGGAAGAACAGCCTCTATGGGATGAAGGACACCCCAGCTTCTACAGGGAGATCTGACATCTTGAACCTCATTGGGTAAATGCTGTTAAAAACTCTGGAGTCCTTATAAAATCGTTCTCTCCTTCAACTGAAGGATTTTCCCTACTGGTGTCTTTCAACAACAGGAAGGCTCAAAGTCAGTTTATTGTGCCTGAAGTTTTGGGGAGCCAGTATGTACAGCTGAGTTTGCTGAGAAAATATGAAACACCCTCATGCGCTGCCTCGTGCTACTGGTGAGAAATGGAGCTCAAGCAGATAACATGCATATGCACGTGAAGGGGTGGGATCAGGGAATTCATTTTGTTTCCCTAAAAAGTAGTAAAAATGCCCTCGTGACCCCAGTGCACTTGCCATAACATAGTAAGACCAGAATTAGCACTTAATACTATTTAATACATATGCTGATTCATTTATGCAACAGTAATTGCAGAGATAAATGACAGACTTGACCAGTCAGCAGTGTGAAACAATCATAAGGAAACAATACATTCATTCTGCTGAATTTTAAGGCTGAATTTGGGCATCCTTCCCTGATATCCTGCAGAAGTCTTCTTCAAACATTACAGATACATTTGGCTGTCAAAGGAGTATGTATTTATTTTGTGTTTATTGCTGAATGGGGGACAAAACTTCATCTATTACTTAGGTGACAGAGGGCTGTGAGAAAGGGTAGGGCAGAATTAATTCATGGTCTGGAAATGTGTAATGCCTTTTTTGATTAAGTTTGTAATTCAGGAAGACTTTGAAAGGGACTGTTTAGCTTGAGGAAGAGAAGGCTGAGGGGAGACCTCATCACTGTACAGGTCCCTGAAAGGACATTGCAGAGAGGCTGGTGCTGGTCTCTTCTCACAGGGGATTAGTGACAGAACAAGAGGGAACGGCTTTAAACTGCAACAGGGGAAGGACATGAGGAGAAAATGTTTCCCAGAAAGAGTGGTCAGAGTGTGGAACAGGCTGCCCAGGGATGGGATGGAGTCCTCATCCCTGGGTGTGTTTAAGGGTCGTTTGGATGAGCTGTGGGGGGATGTGGTGTAGGGGAGAACTTTGTAGAGTCAGGCTGAGGGTTGGACTCAATGATTCTGAGGGGCTTTTCCATCTTGAAAGAGTCTGTATATTACTGTTGGAGTGGTTCTGAAAGAACAAGACTAAATGTAGTTTTTTAAACCCAAAGGACTGATAAATCCAAGTCATAGAGTAGACACTTCTGGTACTTGAAGGCAGTTCCCTTGGGGACCCCGAGAATCCTGTAAAGAATCTACAGAGGTTCCTTACAACTTCCCTTTGGTCCCCACTTAAGAACGGGGCCCACCAGGTACCTGTCAAGGCTGGAGTTTACTCTAACAAAGTGCCTTGTTCAGCCAGGCCCCCCACCGTGCTTCAGGGCCTGCCTCCTTCTTTGCCCTTCCAATTTTGAGGCCCTGCATCCACAGAGCCCTCGAATACAGCACACCCACTCTCCAGCACCCTCCTTCCACAAACTTATATTCTTCAGGTTAAATATTAGCCGGCTTACGTACACAGGATTTGGCATTATTACTTGAGTAAATGTGTTATTACTGAAGGGAGTTTCCTAGGGAGGCGGTGTCAGCTGTGCAGCTCCTCCTGAGCCCCTCTGATGCTGCAGAGGAGCTGGGGCTGGAGCACCTGGGTGAGCTGTGTTCTCCTTGCCCTCCTCCTTCCCCTTCTGCCAGCACATGAGATTTGGGGCTTACCCTTGTCATGACTTCTGCGTTCTCCTTTGCCTTGTATCAAAGGCACCTGATACATGCTCTGTCTTGAAAACTTGCTTGGTGAAGAGTGCTAGCTGCTGCGGCGGGGCTGGTCTTAGCAGAAGGCAGCCCCATAAATGACTTGCTGCTGACCTTTGAGTACCAATATTTAGCAAGCAAATATTTAAACCCACGCCGTTAAGAAGGGAGGCACAGCTTTACCATGGGGAACTCGGGCAAAGGGGTGCTGCTGCTGAGGAGGAGCCAGGTTGGGCAAGGGGAAGGGGCGAGCAGCCTTCATCCCCTCCTCTCCCTCTCCCAACAGAGTAGCTCACCCTGCCCTCAGGCCCACACTGGGGAAGGGGCAGCTGCTTAGAGCCTGGATGGCTGCTGTACCAAGCAAGGCAGGTGTATAAAGCCCCGGAGTGCTGGGTGAGGTTGTTTCAACCCCAAAGGCCAAACAGCCATTGCCTGCTGCTCCGAACAAGCACAGGCTACCTGACAGGGTGGCCACCTCACTAATCCCTCTGCCCTGTGTGACCAGAGCATGACTGGCCCCCGGGGTGACAACCCCTGGTCTCTTGCCATGGCTGGGGCTCTCATGCTGATGAATCTTCAAGACATCAGGTCTCGGTCAGGTGCAGCAACAGGCTGAGAGGGTAATTTTTTCCCCTTGGGAGTGGTGCAGAATTAGCTCTGTTGGTCAGTTTATAATTAGATACTTGCAGCTAACAGTATTCTTTCTGTTGGATTTTTATAGTTTTGTCTCTTCTTTTTTAAATGTGAAAAATAATCAGTCTTAAAATATATATTTTTTTAAATAATTACCCTGGAAAGAGTGATCTATAAAAAGAGAAAATTCTTGCCACAGCAGCGAGCCCAAGCCACAGAAAGCCCAGTTGCAAGCTTCCCTTTTCCACAGCTCCTCAGAGGTTAACCAGGGTCTGTAAGCAAACAGCTTAAAGAAGGAGCCCAGCTTAGTGCCTGGATGTCTCAGGACCGCCAGCCTAATGCCCTTCCAGCAGCCCCTCCCTCCCTCCCAAAGATGATGCTCAGCAAACAGAGCCAGCCCTCGCCCTCTCCCCACGCAGCAAGGAGCCCCGCAGATGGACTGGACACGGGCTGGGGCTCGGGGACGTCGTGGGAGAGGGTGTTTCACTTCACGTGGGCTCAGAGCCATATATATATAAACCCTGGAGCAGCGGCCCGGGAGGATTGTTGAGCACACACCACACCTCGGCTCGCTTGGCAGCTGAACCCCAGCCTACGGGAGGGAGCGCGGAGCTATCTGCCCATGGGCTCCCACCTGCTGCTGCTGCTGCTGCTGCTGCTCCAGGCAGGTGAGTAACACCTCTCGGTCCCTCTACCTCCCCATGCCTCCCCCCAGCCCAGGATGGCTTCTCCCCTCGCTATCAGCTTTGTGGGCTTTGTGGCAGGCACCTCGGTGTGGTTTGGCCAAGTGAGGAAAAAAAAAAAGCACCGCTCAACTCTTTTCAACTTAATAGTGAGGGGCTGTGCAAGTGAGCTGCCTGCCTGCTTCACTTCCCTGGTAGTGCACATAGCTGGGGCTCTATAAACACGAGAGATTTTATTTTTGAATAGTTTTCTACTACAAAGTTGTTGGCATCTGTGTTTCTTCATAAAAATACTTTCTTAAATACTTTTTTTTTTTTTCTAACAGGACTATGGATTAAGCAGGTTTCAATTAAAAAAAAAAAATTATTAAAACCCCATAAATATCTGCTAACATAGAGCCCCTACACACAGCAGCAACATGACACTAAACTGGCAGGTCTGAGGTTATATTTGCTGTACAGTTTTAAAATAAACCCCAAACCCTCACCTTAACCTACATCAAAGGCAGCTCCTTTAATCAGGAAATAGAAAGTGGAGGTTGTCAGATCCACCTCCACTCACCTCCCTGCAGGTACGTTCTCTGCTAAGGGGCCCGGTTAGTAATGTAACTAATGATTGAACATGCTCCTAAAGGGAGATGTGGCTAAGTGCTGGCTGCTGTGGAGACTCAGGCTTTTCCAAGGTTTTCCCAGCTGCGTTGGCTTGGCTGCCCAGTGTAAAAAAAGCAATTTCAGTTCTTGGTCAAATTATTAGCTGAGCCCCTGCATATTGAAATGTGCTTGCTGGGGCTGATGTTTCAGCTGCAGTGCTTCACCATCAGCTCAAAACCCAGCCAGCTTTCAAAGAATGAAACAGGAACATCAGAGGCTGCCTGGATGTCCACGTTAATTCAAGCTCTTGCAGAGCACGCAGCCCTAAGCACACTAATTGATTCTCGGGGGCTCGATTCCCTTTGGGGCTTTCTCTCTGCTTTCACGAGCAGCTCTGAGCTGTAATTACAGTTCCTTGATCCTCAGAGATATCCCCAAAAGAAGCCTTTCTTCTTCTGGGTGAGGTGCAGTTACCTTACACCACCCTCGTCTGCTTTCAGCCAGGGGCCAGCAGACGAAGTCCAGCAGAGTCCTGGCTATAGAGGTCAGTGAGAGACAGCAAAAAGCAGAAAGCTGCTCATTGGGAGGCCTGGATGCCTACAAAGAAGTTTTTGTCTTCATTGGAACATTTTCAGGGTCTGCATACTGCAACAGGTTGAAAAAGCACAATTTTTAACCCAAAATCCAGAGCAGCTCACTGCTTGTGATTTCCCCTGGGGTACCTGAAAGCAGAGCCCCTTTCTAACTCCAGAGCCCCACTGTTTAGAGAAGGGAAATAGGTCGTCTCTTTAGTTTCGAATAACACCCCTCTAATGTGTTTTTAGCACAAAACCCGAACACTCAAGTAGTGTTTAGGTGAACAGCGAGGTTACTTTCTCAGGAATGTGCATTTAATCCCCGAGGAATGCCCTGTGAAGCATAAGGAGGCTGTGAGGAAACCCCAACTGCCAGGACAGCCGGAGGTGTTGATCACTTGCGGGGGGAGGAAATGGTGGAGGGCAACACTCTCCTGCTGGGGGCTCGGGGTGCAGAGAAGGAGCAAAGCCCAGCCTTGTCCTTCATGGGGAGAGATCCTCCTTGTCTTTGCTTTGGGGTTTGGATCAGGCTAGGAGCAGGAGCCAGCCCAGGAGATGCAGGGAGAGGCCCGAGCAAGGGGATTAGGTTCTAAAAGGAAAGCAACTGTTTTAATAATGGTATTGAGTCCTCGGGTGGTTTAGGGGATTAATCAGTCTGTGTTTACACAGCACTTTGAAGAGGTCAAGCGTGCTGCAATAGCCAGGGGGCAGGTGGCAACTTCGGTGGCGGGTTCCCAGCTCCCAGGAGTCACCTCCTTCTCCATCCAGGTGTGCCACAAAGTGTCCCCGTTTCTGCAGGCTTTTCTTTTCGGAGGGGCTGAGCACGGCTGGGATGAGCAGATGGGTTAGAGAGTTGCTCCGAGGGGTTTGGTGCTATGGCTGAGTAGCTTTGCCATGGCCTATAGAGCAGTACAAAGCATGCTTGGTCCTTCACAGTAAACCCAGGCAAGAAATACCCTGATCTGTCACCATCGTTAACATGGTGAGCATCAGTGTTATCAGTGTTTTCAGCTGCGCATCACAGGGGTTGCACTATTAGGGGTAGGGTGCTCTTGGTTTCCATAACAGTTACTAAAAGGTAGAGTGTGTGGTTTCTAAAAAAAGGCAAATCAACATGAAATCACAACATTGTTCGGAAGACTTGTAACTCAAAAAACCCCAGATGGGTTTGGGTGGCCATCCACCTGCTTCAGCTGACACAGAGCTCCTTTTTTTTTTTTTTTTTTAAATCAAATTATGCAGCCAACCTGATGTTATGACTTAAATGGAATGTAATAACAGAAGTGGTTGTAAGTGTTGCCAGCATTTCCAAACACTCAAAAGAAAGCTGATACACATACATCTTGGCTAACATAGGCATCCTATCCTTGCCAAAATAAACCTTACAGGTTCAGGGACCCATGGCTATTCCTCTACACAAATTAATAGCACTGTCAGCTTTTTGCCATCTGGAGAATGGGTTAAAATACCCTGAATAATAGGGGAAACATGGATAATATAAGACATCTTGGGCAATATGGAAGCCTTATTTTTTTCTGTAGAGCCCAGGTTAGGTCTGGTTGTCCTCTGCTGCTTCACATCTCACTTGGGAGCACAGCATAGCTGTCAGCTTTCCCAGGTTTGGGAGCTCTGGGGTGCAGTGAAGCCCAGCTGGCTCTGCACGGTGCTGGCATAGGCCCTGCAAAGCTTAACAGATCAGGCTCCATGACGTACAAAACCAGGCAACCTTCTTCCAGGCCACCATCACCCATTAGTGCACCAGAGCTAGTTAAATCTTGCTTGATTTGAGCACTCTCTGCAGAAATAGCCTGCTTGAGTATCACAGAATTACAGAATCATCTAGGTTGAAAAGGACCTTGAAGATCATCCAGTCCAACCGTTCACCTAGCACTGACAGTTCCCAACTACACCATGTCCTTAAGTGCTAAATCAACCCTACTCTTAAACACCTCCAGGGATGGGGACTGTACCACCTCCCTGGGCAGCCCATTCCAATGCCCAACAACCCCTTCTGCAAAGAAATACTTCCTAAAATCTAGTCTAAACCTTCCCTGGCGCAACTTGAGGCCATTCCCTCTTGTCCTGGCGCTGGTTCCTTGGCTCAAGAGAATCATCCCCCCTCTCTGCACCCTCCTTTTAGGAAGTTGTAGAGGGCCGGGAGGTCTCCCCTCAGCCTCTTCTTCCCTAGACTAAACCCCCCCAGTTCCCTCAGCTGCTCCCCATCAGACCTGTGCTCCAGACCCTGCACCATCTCCGTTGCCCTTCTCTAGACACGCTCGAGTCATTCAATGGCCTTTTTGGGGTGAGGGGCCCAAAACTGGACCAGGAATCGAGGGGCGGCCTCACCAGTGCCGAGTACAGGGGTCAGATCCCTTCCCTGTCCCTGCTGGCCACGCTAGTGCTGACACAAGCCAGGATGCCATTGGCCTTCTTGGCCCCCTGGGCACACTGCTGGCTCATTATCAATCCCCCCCAGGTCCCTCTCTGACTGGCAGCTCTCCAGCCACTCCTCCCCAAGCCTGTAGCGCTGCTGGGGGTTGTTGTGGCTCAAGGGCAGCACCCAGCATTTGGCCTTAGTGAAACTCCCCCAGTTGGGCTCAGCCCATGGCTCCAGCCTGTCCAGGTCTCTCTGCAGAGCCTCCCTACCCTTGAGCAGATCAACACTCCCATCCAACTGGGTGTCATCTGCAAACTGACTGAGGATGCACTTGGTATTTCTGAATCTGCCTCCTGGTCATCTCAGGCCTCAGGTAAGACCCCTGCAGAGAATCCCCTTTGCAGGCCAAATCTCAAGTCTAATTCGATTGTTAAGGCTGCTCCAACCAACCAGTCTAAACCAAAAAAGTACCCATTTAAGGAGTTTAGTCTCAGGTGTGTTTAATCCTGTCCTGTCTTCGCAGTTTGGAAGGGTGCTCCAGGAAAATCCCATTCACTGCACACCCGAGGAATCGTTGAATTGGCAGGAGCCATATCGTGTGGCACAGGACGGTCTCCATTGGCATATATTGGCTATGGATGCTACTGCGGGCTGGGAGGACAAGGCTGGCCTAAAGATAAAACAGACTGGTAAGAAGATCCAGAAGTGATGCAGATCTCCCCACTCTTCCCTGTTCATAGTCCTGTGCCTCCACGGGCCCGTTACTGCCTTGGGGAGGGGGAATTTAGTCTGTATGAACAGCACTGGGGAACTGTGAGTGAGGACTCAGGTATCACTTGGGGCTTCAGTGAGGGTTTAACCACCTTCTGGATGAGAGCAGAGCTCTTGGGACCTGGTAGTCTGTGAGGTGGAGGGAGAAGGAGGAACCAGGGTATGATTTCATGAAATAGCTGCATGTTTATTCATGGATAGCAAGCCCTGCCTGAGAAAAAGGGGACTGACCAAGGCATTTGGAGAGTTATTTCACTAAGGTCCTGAAAATGGCAGCGATGGGAATATCACTGTTTATCCTGTGGAAGACATTCAGACCGTTGCAAGGAGTAATCAAATCTGTTGCCCTCATTGCCTGTTAGTTCACATTGAATCAAGGAAGAACAGCAACAGGGGAGAGTGTGATGTTATTTCCCCTCTTCTTTGTTAGTGGGGAAGATGCTGTGCTTGTTATTCCCAAGGCTGAAAGCAATTAGTTCTAGGAAGTGTTGCAATCAAAGGTTTCTTTCTTGTATTTTGCAGTTAGCATACATATAAATCTTGAGCATGATGGACTCTTGTGTGCTCCTGAGCCTTTTATTTGCAGACTTGTCTGGTTTTAAACATCAAAGACAGAGCACACAAGTCTATTTGTTTATCTACAGTCAACAGGCCAGGTGCTACCGAGAGGCAGGAGTGAAGGCAGCGTGCAGCTCACTGGGAAGGGAACTGAGCTTTCCAGAGTATCCAGCCGTTGGAGAGATTTTGCATTGCTACAAAACCAAACTTTTGCTGCATTGGCAGGACAGAAAAAGTTAAAAAAAGGAGGAAAAGATGCTAACGTTAAAAGCCAACTCCTCTGTGGGCATAAAGGAGCAAGTGTCCCCTAAAACTAACAGAGATGTCTTCATTAATGCAGCGAGACATTTCACCCCAACACCCTCTCTCACATCCCTGGTTTGTACCTATGAAACATTTAGTCTGTGGAATAGTCAATACAGGACTTGCAAGTAATGAGTAATTGCCTCCAAGGGCCACAGCTTTCAGGTGTAGAGACTTTTAATTTTTAGGAATACTTCTTGACCTGCTTATCACCACCTACAGCAGTGTCTGAAAATGCATTTATTACTTTTGTTAGCCCTTCATCAACTCTGGTAATCAGGTCTTTGAAGTAAAACATGACTTCACTAATTTGGAGTACTTCTTTTACCAAAGGGCTGGTTGGAGGAGTCACCTAAAAGCTATTTTCCATAGATGTTGGGTGACCCCCAATTTTAAGTGACTCTGAGAGATAGGAGTGGTCAGCACTGCTGAAAAAGAGACAGAGAGTAAAATATGGCCACGTGTTTCTACCACCGTTTTGTTTCCATGGGATGTGGATTTTATCCTAATGGAAGAAAATGAGACTCTGCAACTGGAAATGCCTCACAATACCAGATAGTTTGTAAAGAGGAAGCTTGATCCTTTAAGTGCTTTCATTATTATTCCTTAGCTGCAATAAAGCTCCCCAGAAACATTTTCAGTTAGGTTCTTAGGTAGGAAGAATGCCCCTACTATAGATTTAACCCTAAAATTTCCCAATTTATGTTTCCTAAAGGAATCTCCTGATATCTGTTACTGAGAACTGATGCAAAAATCAGTGTGGTTGAGTACCCTGTGCCCATCAAAGTGACCACATTTTCTATATTTGCCATTCTAAAAAACAGAGAAGCAGAGTGGCAAAACTACTGGCCCTGAGTGACAAACACTGTTTGAAATGACACCCCCTCGACACCTCTGTGTTTGTTACTGAGACCCCTACAGAAGGGGTAATTTTCTTGTGAGTAATTCAATCTGTCTAGACAGGGCTAGAGTGCTTCTAAGGACCTCTCTTTTATAAAAAAAAAAAAAAAAAAAAAAAAAAGCTGTGGAGTGGGTAATCCTTTTATAAGGTTTATTTCACACACTGTCTTTGATGTGGAGTTGTCAGTAATTACCTTTTCCCTTTGTTCCATGCTCACAGGCCCATCACTTCAATTCATAAATGCATCTTTTCCACATAAAGTCAGTAGATTTGTTTCTCCTTCCCCTTTCTGTTCCCCTGGATTGCTGCTGAACCCATTTTTTAAAGCAGGACTGGAAGGTGCTCAGCATCTCCCTGAAAACACCAAATGCCATCAAAGGCAAGGTGGCATATATGGCTCAGTACTGGCAAACTCCTAAGGAAGAGTAAGATTTCTCCTCAGTTGCTGAGTTAAATCAAAACAGAAAGACACACAGTGGTGGCTGTGCTGGTAACACAAACATTGTGACAAACACAACGTGACAAATTCTTACATTAATGGCATTTGCTCAACGGCAGGGGTCTGGCCAGCTGGACCCTGAGGGCCAGCCAGAGCTGTCTGTAGCCATTAGGGCAGTCTCAGTAGCCCAGATGTGATGAGTAGGTTGCTTACTAGTGAGAGGACAGGGTTGTATTTTTTTTCCATACCCGTTGACCAGTGCTCTGCCAGTGTTGGTTGACTGTTTGGGTTGGTCTAACTCAGTGTTAGCTGCTTAATAAAAGCTTAACACCACGCTCTGACCCAGGTGCAGGGAAAGGCATTTCCAAACAGGATGGGACCATCAGAGGTGGCAAAGGACAATGATAGGTTTCCTCACTCTTCAATCCCTGGCAGTTCTTTCAGAGCATCTGAAGGAGATGTTTGTAACATGTGAGCCAAAGTCGTCTTGCTTTTTGTTGGTGTAAGCTACATGTCACCCCTCTGCAGTCATGGGTGTTATCAGGAGGAACTGGTGGTGTAAGAGGAAGCAGAATTGTGCCCCAAATCCCTCAGCCCTGCAGAATTTATGCAATCCCCCTGTTTTTGCCAAGCCAGCTAAGGAGCAGTGAGTTCTCACCGCTAGCTATCACACCCCTCTAGTACTTATTTGCTTGTCCTGCCTGATTCACAGACCATCTTTTGTCCCCTCCAAGATTTGTTCTCACTTCTTTTCCTATCTCTTATTGTATTTGTTCCCTCTGGGCCTACCTAAAGAGCAATTTCATTCCCTTGGCCCGCAGGCTGCTAACTCTTCCCTTTGTCTGTCTACCTTTGTGTTTTCCTCCTCCCCACACTTCTCCACTGCTGATGCCAACTGATTTGGCTGTGGAGTCACTCTTTAGACCTCATAAGCCCTGTAATTTCTACATCCGCCACTCTGCCTCAGATCAGCCTGATTCGTGGCTCTCCACCGTGGCCTCTTGTGCTCTGTGTCCCGTATATGAGACACCCATGATGGGGCTGCTCTGCCATCTACCTCCCTGAGGACGGATGAAGTTGTGCTGAAGCTTCAGGTACGCTAGCCAGGAAGCTCTTGGCTACAGCAACTCCTCCAGATGACACGTGCTCCAGTTGTAGCTCAGTGCCATAGTCCATCCCATGGCACGTTGCATAGACTCATACATTGGAGAAAGCTGGGACTTTCACACTTTCCCCAAGGCTGTGAATTCTTCTTTCCTTTGGTTTTTCATGTCTAACATCTTCAGGACAAGTGCAGGAGTGAGGTGTTACTGAACCAACAAAGATCTGACCCACAACCTGTTACTGCCATCATGTCCAACAGAACCGGTTCCATGAGCTGAATAAGGTCTCCTCAATTACAGTAATTGCTGTAACTCCTCATGGGAAAACATCTTTTAGATACCTATATCCCATAGCATTTAGTCTCATTCTGAAGTTCTTCCGAGGAGTCAACATGGAGGGAGATACTACTCTGTTAATGCTAACTTATATTTCTAGGTTTCACAAAGCAGTGAGTAGTGTGGTCGTAATCATCACACAGGTTTCATCTTGGCAAGCTGAGAAAAAAAAAAAAAGGTATTTAGTTTGCAGACTCATCTGTGAGATGAAATTGCTACTTTAACTACTAAACTGGGAGCTCAGTTGGTAGGGAAAGCACACTGGACTAAATTCAGCTTCTGTGTAATCACAGGGGTTACTAGAAGGCTGAATTTCATCTGACTGGTCTGATTCTGTTGTCTCTTTCACGTGATTCACCTGATCTAGTTCCAGTTCATTTTTTTAGAATTTGTATCAGTGGTGGAACTTCTTCTTTGCACTTCAAAAATCTTTTTTTCTTTTTTTTTTTTTTTCCCCTGGGCTTTATACCTCACACAGCCCACCAGCACTCATATCCATAAACCAATTTCTAAAAAGGCAAAACCCTCATGCAGCAGAGGGTGATGAAGTTCATAGTGTTCCTGAGCTCTTGGGTAAGGTAGTGACAGCTCCCAGTGGGTCTCTGGAGAAGCCCCACTTCTGCACAAGCGACCTTTATCATTCTTGCAGGGTTTTTCCACTTTTCCAGAGGGATGGTGGGTTCCAGGGTGGATCACAGACTTTTATTGGCTTTTCAGGTACACTGGCCTCAGGCCTTGAGGATGATGATCAAGGTCTTCAGCTGGCTTTGGGCAGCCAGCACAGCCATGCTCCCTTTTGGCCTGCTCCTCCACTTCTTGAAGACATTCACATCTAGGACTCAAGAACTTCTCTAAAAGCTGTCTGCTCTTCATTTACCCCTCAGATCAGCCTGCCACAATGCTTCCCGATTAGTAGAACCATTTCTCTGTAGAGTCCCAGTGATCTTACAGGGACAAGTTCTAGAAATGCAGGACCTCATTCCTCTCTGCCTCCAGCCTCTGACCTCACATCTTTGCTCAACCAACCTTGGTTATCTGGAAGAGAAACTCTCTAAGTCCTGAATCTTCTCTCATTGTATTTTGAGTCATAAACTACCAGAATAAAATTCAAGTGGGGTCAAGTTTTCTATCAAGTTATCTGAAGTAATAGATAGTGGGGCTTATCTCACTGATTAATCTACAGGACAGGTATCATCAGCTCAGCTCCCTCTATGGTCAATTAAGAGCAATTGCATGTTCAAATGCAATGTTTTCCACCCATGTTAGATCTCTGCAGCACCATAATATGAGCTGTGTTGCAGACATGCATAAAGGCAGTATAGATCAATATCTGAGATGGAGATATTTACATTTAAGGATCTGAAGTTAACTGGTATGAATCCCACCATTGAGGCTGATGAGTCTGTAGCCAGCTCTCAGAAACTGGATGAGCCAAAGAGCACGTGGCAGATCCAGGTGACCTGAAGAGATGAAGCTGCTTGGTGATGCTGAGAAAGACAAAACCCATTCCCACTCCAAATTCTGAGATGGGTCTAAGTCTAAGCCATAGTCATGCACCTCATAGTGACACTTCAACTCCGTTTCAGCACGTGGGGTTACCATGTGTTGACCACACCTGCCTTTCTGAGGGCAAAAGCTCACAGGAAGAAGCACACAGTGGTCATGGGAGAAGATACACCATTAATGATCTCCAGAGCCATATGAGCTTTCAAAGAGATGGCACAATGCTTGGTTCATCAACAGGCTGGGGCAAACATTGCTGTTGTAAGTGGTGCGTGAGTGGAGAGCTACTGGAGTATGTGCAAACACCCCTGAGCAGAATATGCAGGATGCCTGAGTCCAAACTCTACCTTTTCTTCTGTCCCAGGTGCTGCCACAGGCACGACTGCTGCTATGACAAGGCAGAGAAGGCAGGCTGCAGCCCCAAGGTGCAGCGGTACCAGTGGGCATGTGAGCAGAATGCCGTGCGGTGTGGTAAGGGAAAAAATGCTCGCCTTGGGTTCATTCCACTCCCTCCTCTGCAGGGGCATTGGCTGACCTAAGAGTTTCGTGGGCTTCAGAAATAGATCTGTGTACGCTGAGATGGTTTTAAAGCTGCTTTGGGTAATGTTTGTTCTCCGAGCTATCTTTCCATGCTTTGCCTGGGTCACTAGGCTCACCAGGAGGCCCCAGTTGGAGCTGGGAGGAAGGCTGGAGCCCCAGCACCATCTGTCTCAGGCAACCTGAGTCCTCCCCAGGCTGAAGCGCAGGAGCAGGGGCCATGGAGCCAACAAGCCATCTCAGTTTGGCAGGGGTGCAGGTGCCACCCACATTAAGCACACCTGCTCCTTGCTGACACCTTCCCAAAGCCCTGGTCTGCTTGTGGCCATTGCTGCAGGCGTGGTCTTCCCGTGGCAGTTTTGGCCCTCCCGTCAGTGATTTACTTACCATTATACACTAGAGAAGGGCCATGATATTATACATGTCTTTAAGGCAGGTTAAATAGGGTGCCAGTCTGAATATTTGCCTCATGTGGGACTCCAGCCTAAAGCCTGAGGGCTCCAGCAGAGATCTTGAAACTTGCAGAGTCAAATGCTCTCAAGTGCCACAGGCATACAGCAAGTGTAAGCTGTGCTCAGCTCTACAGCTGGTACACAGTCAGGAAGGTCTGAAATTGCACAGTCACAACCCATCAGTGGCTCACACCAGTTTGTTTTGACATACACCAGATGACATGAGTCTTCAAATTTGTCACTTCTATTGCTATGTCTCCAAAAAGTCCCTGATGGTAAAATCCATTGTAGAACTCTTCGAAAGTTTGAAAAGCAACATGTGAGAGTGAAAGTTGTCCCCATACCATAAATGCTACTTGCTTAAACATTAAAAAACTGTTTCTACCTTGTCAGAAGACCATGTTCTACTGGTGCAGTCCTCAGCCTCTCCAGCAGCTGAGAATGTGCCAGCAGATACAGGATGTGGCACAACACATCTAAGTTGCTCTCTTCCGAGTGCCAGAATAACCTATTAAATACAAAGCACTGGCCGAGGAATGTATTGCTTTAACGTGTAACTGCTCTCTGTCCCCCCTACCCATATTTCCATAGCTGGCTGATATTTTCTGCTAGCTATTTTGATATAAGAAAAAAAAATCCTGTTTCTTTTGCTGTGAAGGAACAATCCTAGTTGTGGATGTGAGAGGTACCACTGAGTCCAGGAGACATGGACAATATATATCCTGCAGAGTGCACTGGGCTGCAGTTATTCCAATCTGGCTAATAAGCATTAGTTAAACCAATGCCATTAATTCCTTAACTAATGTCCAGGCAAGGCCTGAGGAGCATCCATCAACTGTTCTTTGAAAGCCTTCAGCAGGCTTCACTTCCCCTGACATCCCCCATGAGGAAGAACAATAGAATGGGTTCTGAAGGCAAATGTCGTACCCTGGGCTACAGCACAGTAGTTTTTATTGAGGTGTGAAGGTCTAATGTCTGATCCATTCAAACAAAAGGGATGAAGAATTAAATTTCCAGGCATGCTTGCTGGGCCTAGGGCAGTGACGTCCAGAAACATCAGAAGCAGAACTGCTTGAACTGTCCTTTCTATGCAAGAGGAAATAAATGCCTGTTGCCTGGCACTGTATCATAAACACTGATATTTTCAGGTAAATTAAACAGAAACTCATTTTACCCGGGACTTCTCCTTTTGCTACTATTAGGCAGTTTTGTTCGTGGAATGAAAAAAATTGGCAAAAACATGTATTTCAGTCCAGATATGCCATCACATGTAGGTGAATTCCATTTGATAAATATCTGGAATATAGAAAAGGCTGTAAGTTGTGGAGGCTGGTCAAAAACCTCATTCTGCTCTAACAGAAATGACTGCCAGCCCAGACTCTTGTACTCACAGTAAACTGACAGTGGTTGGCACAGCACAGGAAGAACTCAAGGATTAGAGGGCAATGAGAAAATCAGGCAAGACTGGTAGATAAGAAAAAAATTGACTTAGTGCTGAGTCCTCATCGGTGGGACCCTTGAAACACTTTTCACTGGGAAACATGTGACTCTCTTCAGCAAAGCTTAAGAAATATGGTCTCTTCTTATTTATCAGACACAGGGTTGATCCAGCAAAGTCCACTGAAATCTAGAAAGATTCCTGTACTCTTTGAAGTTGGTTTTGGAACAAAGCCCATGTGCACTGGTATGAAGTCACACCTTAAACTTTGCCTAGTGCAGGGTTTGGTGGATGTTAGACAATCCTCAAGTAAATAAGGCACTGTGCTTTGAAATAATACTAGCCCAATGACTGCATTTAAAGCTGCCTATAGGTGGGATGGGGGCTTATTAACCCCAAATCAGTCATTTGCAATGTAGCCACCTGAGCCTGTTGCTTTGATGTTCCTTGTGGTCCTTACCTAGTCACATAGTCATATAATTGCATTAGAAATTGTGCTATATGTATGGTTTTGATCAGCTTCATTAGCTTCTGACTCATAAAAATCAGGTACTTGACCCTGCTGTGGAGTTCCTTGGCCCCTCTGCCATCATGAGAGAGATGTAAGAGCAACTCACAGAGCACCAGTGAAGGATGCCCGGTGGGTGTTTATGTACACTCAGGTTTCCAAATGTTCCTCCAGGAGATTCTTCCTTTCAAAGCAGCATTTTTTTTTCTTTTGAAATTGGTCTGATGTGAAGAGGGAGGAGGTAAAAGAAAAGTTGACTGACTGAGGGAAGATGGACTATTTTTACCTCATGCTAAACTAAAATAATTTTCTTTTTTATCTTTGGCCATTGAACTAAAGCCTCATTGTTCACACATCTCTAGAGGTGGAGAGTAGTCTGTGCCAGGCAAATTTTTGTAACTATTGTCTCTTGACATTTAGCTGCTACTTTCTGGTGCTCTTGGTCACAGCTAAGGTCAGTTGACAGGGACAGGAGAGGGGAGGGTCAGATCCACACACAACACAACATGTTGATGCTTCTCTCTTCATGCTTCCACAGCACCTGTTCCCTAAGAATTGCTTTATTAGGAAATTGTTCCTCTTAAAACTGTTTCTTGCCTTCATCCCATACAGAATCTCTCATCCTCCACCCACACTTTCTTTTGCAGATAACCTGACAGACCAGTGTGAAAAAATGGTGTGCCTGTGTGACCAAGAAGCAGCCAAGTGTTGGGGAGCAGCCCCATACAACCCACACTTCATCCTTTGGCCAGACTTTTTATGTGGACAGACTCATCCCACCTGCCATTTCAGATATGGGGGAGCAGAATAGTCTTTTTAGGACCTTTCTTCCAACCCTTTGAATCTGAAGGTGCTGGAATAAAATTTTACCTGTTTTACCAGAGCTATCAACGGTGTGAGAGAATTTCTATCAGGCCAGTGTTTATGGGGAAGAGAGACAGGGTAACACAATGCTGAAGTAAGGATAAGATCCTGCTCTGACTGTGGCCTTTGCAGAAACAGAGGGTTTGGTCTGCAGTGCAGTGGGAACACATCACACATCACCAAATGGCTTTTTTGTCCTTCACATTGCCTGACCTTCAACCCTTCAACTCCCACACATTTGCACATGATCTGGAAAATATGTAGAGGCTTCTGATAGACTGATTTGTCAAAACAAACAAACAAACAAAAATTCCATCTCTGTGAAAAGATACACTGGGCTTTGAAGACCTGAGGCATGCCAGTCAGGAGTGACTCATTTTATTTTCCTGGACCTGCAGGAGGAGAGGGAACAACAAAGAGGGATGATGTCTCCTTATTCCTATTTGGTGCTCAGAGATAGGAAGCAGAATTCCTACCAGAAGGAAAAGCAGAGTCTGGCCCAAGGCAGGGCTCTACACTTTCTTTTGTGTGTGTGTTTTTTTTTCTTAGCTTATATAGCCAGATGTCTTATCCCTCACGTTCCTGCCTCACAGCACCAGAGACACTTCTGAGGTGTTTTCAAAGGTAAGTGGAGTTATACCAGGCTATTGCTGTTGCAAAGCCAGCAAGGGTCTCTGACTTCTACTTACTAGTAGGCAAAAGAACACACTCCTCACCTGCTATACATGCTTCAGAGCTGATATGCTTACAGGAGATGCTCTCCTATATTGGCATATCCCCAGTCACTGACTGCCTGGGAATCAGCTGTTGTTGTGTCAGGAAACATGGGCTATGGAGAACATTAGTCATGTCAAGCAAATCTTTCATAGCTCCTTTTTTTTTTTTAAGGGTACTGGAGGATTTTATTGAAACACTATGTTTCCTTCTGGCAAGAGTAAAACAAAATCCCATTCTTCCAGCTATGTTCAAGTGGGCCTTCTTTGCCACTTTGTTCCAAGCTTGTAGTCTGGAGCAAGACAACAGGACAGGAGCCTCTATACTGAGAGGTGCAGACAGATGGGAGCCACAGTTGCACCCCAAGAAATCACAGGTTTGTTTTCTTCAGGTGGGGAGCTGAGGGGCCTGGGCAGGTCAGGCTCCTTCTGTCTCTTCTGAAGCACAGCTGACAAACGTTGAGTACCAAAAATAAGAAGTAATGGCAGGGAAAGACCCAAGGTACCTCATCAGAGTCTAGATTCAGAGACCAAGTGGGGTATTGGCGGGTGATAACACAGATTTCTTCACAGAAGGCTATTTTATTCCTTGCTGCAGGAGGATACCCCTGTGGCCGTCAAAGCTGCAGGAAAAAAGAGACAGGCTAACAAAAATTGAAATGCCAAAGACAACATATATAGAAGCAAAGATTTTTATTCCATCTAAAGCTCCACTTTTGGCTTACAGGGCATCAGAAGTTGTTCCACCTGTAGGCTTCACATCTTCCTGCAACTCCTGTAACGGTGCACCTCAAGCTACGCTGAGCAAGACGGAAAGGAGAGGGAGAGAGTGAGCAATACCAAGTTAGTCCAACACAAAAAAGGCTTTCTGGCAAGTAAAGTTGTGAGCTCTGTTCATGCAGAGGAATGCAAAGGGATGCTGCTGTGTGGGCAGCATCAGTCTAGGGGTGCGGCTGGAAGATTCCCCCCCGGTAAGCGGGGCAGAGCCCCTGGCCATGTGCCTGTCCCCGCCAGGATGGCCATCGGGTGGCGGCAGCGCTCCAGCGAACGGCAAGAGCAGCTCTGCCTTCATCCCTTCAGGCAGGGGATTTTTTTTTTTTTTTTTCTCAGCGGACCGAGCAAGATTTTTGAGTGCCGGGAGGCGCAAATCACACGGTTCCCCACTGAAATCAGAAAGTCAGCTGAGCTCGGTCTGAAACGCAGATCACATCTTGGGTTGCACAAAAATGGGAACGAAGCTTGTCTCCAAATCCAGCTTCCAGTGTCAGTCGGCTCTAATTAGACCAGCTGACAGAGCTGGAAAAAGCAGGTGAGCCTTCGGGTACATCAGCCTCTTCTGGGGTCATTTCTTTGGCTCATGCGTGATGAAAACGTCTAGTTTTCCCAACTCAATCAGCTGATCTAATAAAATATATTACTGGGCTTAACAAACCACACCTCACACAGACATTTCAGCCATCATAGGCTTTCTCTACACAAGCATTACAAGAATACAGATGTAAGCAGGTGGTTGGTGGGAGGAAGACCCATCCTTCAGCATGAACCTAAAAGAACCAAAGAAGACCCAGGGCTTTGTTAAAAGAAGCAGCAGCATCTCACTGAACAACTCTTTGCCAAAAGTGGCAATTAAAGAAGATCCTATCATTTTGTTCATAGGTAACTCATTAGGCCTATGTATGAAGCTCTACCCAACATAAACAAAGAATTATTTGAAAAAGAGATGGAATATAGAGCCAGCCCTGTGAGAGTTTCATCCACACTACTTACTTCCTAAATCAGATCCCATGCCTGACCAGAGGTAAATGGCCAATTCCTTCTTAAATTTAAAAAAAAAATAAAAAATAAAGGAAGCTTTGGAAATAGGCAATTGCGTTCATCTTCCAAGCAAGGGACTCCAGGATTTTGTCTGTGTTCCTTACCTTGGCGAGAGCCTTGTCTCATGCAGAGTATGCATCTCCTCAGCTGCGGGGTGAAAACAATGATCAGAACCACTATGCCCCCGATACCAGCTGCCACAACCCCAATGATGGTTCCAATGGATTCTTCTATACCAAACAATCCTGGGGAGGAAGGGAAGGCAGAGAGAGTAAGGTAAGAAATCATCCAGGAAAGCATATGCAACGCAGCCAGCACATTTTCTGCAGAGGAAGCTACTTACTGTGGTATTGATTATGTCAATGTCTTGTCTGAAATCATGGGCTTCCACAGGGGAGAGAGTGTATTGCACTACAGAGCTATTGATTTTTTTCTTCTTTTTTCATTCCTATGTAGGAAGCTGCTACGCTTTCTGGGGATTTAGAGATAGGACAGCCCCATCTCCCTGGCAATCTCCCTTAACAACTGAATGCTATGGGATGGCAAGACATGCTGCTGCCTGAATTAATGGGACTTCTGCTTGTATGCTTTATTTTCAAACAGAAAAAAATACTCCGACAATTTTGAGAAAGTCATCAGTCTCCCTGATCTCCAAAGGAGACAGCACCGGAAGGTGGGCAGAGCTCTGCTGAAGTTCTTTCTCTGATTTGTTGCTCTTTGGGACTGTTGCAGTTTGGTGGGATGATTACATTTTCTTTGAGATAAGAACACATTGGCATTGTGGCTTTATTATTTGTTGGGGCTGAAGGATGATTCAGGAAAAGCCTTTGGTCAGGTGAGGACAGTAGGATGGGCTGTTACAAGCAGCATGGAGAGCATCTGCCTTGTAGCTTCAAGTCTGCTAAAGTACAAATGTCTCTTTAGAGAGAGGGAAACTGCTAGGCAATACACACCACTGATCTTATCAGATTTTAAGTGACCGCCTCATGCTCATGGTAGTCCAAAATATGTCATTTGCTTCTTCGTAATGGATAAGTTAACAGAGGCAGCTAATTTATCTTTTCAATTTTAGAGAAGTTTTTGGACAGGCTGGATTTGTGGCACATAACATTACTTTATGAATTGTATTTCTCATATTCTCTTGTCCCTTTAATTCAGGCATAGTGAAGAAATTATGTATTTCATCTTCTCAGGAACACAGAAAGGCAATTACCCAGGCCGGGGGGCAGAAATTGCAAGAGTAACCTGTGCTGCTGAGACTGTGAGATGAAGCTGATGGGAGACCTCATTAGACACGTCACCAAGCCTTTGCAGTGGGACACGGTTTTCTTGCCTTGTTAGTGCTACAGTTTAAGTAGTTTTATAAAAATTAGTAATGGAAGAACTCAGGCTCAAGAGGGCAAAGGCTTAGTGACTCTCAGTGAGCTATAAGCTTTGGTAACAAATAAGGGTAAATGGCACTTGCATAATTTACTCTTGACACAGAAGGTGCTACTTTTTGGTAATTAGATAATAAGATAATACACCTTCTGATGTGTTGATATGCTGGGACTGGAATGCATTTAGCCTACATAGAAAGGAAAACTGCTTTGACATTTTCAGCTGGTAAAGGCAAAGCAAGTTATCTCCTTACTTAATACATCTAGTGTCTATTTGTGAGGCTAAGAAAACATAGCATGGCACTTTTAATGCTACTTTGATTTTAATTTGAATGAAGTTAAGCAGAAATGATATAACGTGATCGTCATGTGTATTGTGGGATTACCTATGTCATCCAGAGTTAAGGAAAGAATATGCAAGTTAGTGGGCTGAAGAGAAATAATGTCCAAAAAAAGGAGTTTGGAGCTGTTCCCTGAGCTGATATCTTGACACCTGTCACTCATAGGGGTTCTGTCAAACAGAGCTGTGAGTACATAAGAACTTATCTGTTTCATCCTTGGCACTGACTTTGATTTTAGTGATAAAATTATTCCTTCTTTTTTTGGTTGTAAATCCTTATAATAGTACCTGTGTGACTGTTTATAGAGGCAAGCCAATCAAAATTAGCTGGCCTAAAGAAAATAGTGAGAAATACTACAGAGCAATCACAATCCATGACACCAGGCCTTAACTGCTAGAGGCCAAACAGGCCAACTTCCCTCCTTCTGCAAGGGTGTAGACCAGCTTTGGAGGAGAAAGAAGAAGAAAAGAAGTAAATAACATCAAATATTACCCAGAGCCCTCCTGATCCTGAGCTTTGTGCCATCTCCTGTCACCACCTTCCCATCCGGTAGTGTAACCTCACAGAAATAAATACCGTGGTCACTGGTTGTCACATTGAGGATCACCAGGGAGGCATCCCCGTGGGACAGGTCTCCACTCATGAAAATCCTGGAGTTATTTGGCAAGATGGTCACATTGTTTTCAAGCAGGTCCATCTGCCCCTTTTCATCTTCTTTGTACCACTTCACCGTCAGGTCAGGCAGGGAGGGAGGTCGTGGACTGTTAAAGTGGCAATTTAAGATCACAGTTTCACCCTCTTTGGCTTTTTCCTTGGCTGGTGTTTGAGTCACCAAAAGGTGCCATGGCTCGGGTGTTGTCCACAATGAAGGCTGTGCTGTTATATGAGTTACAGCTGCATTCTCCTTGCTTGCACCTCCACCACTAACACCAACATCTATACCAGGAAAAAAGAAAGAAGATGAA